GTAAAACTTGTAAAATGCTATAAGAGTAATTAGGTATTTTTCTTAAAATCTTATTTTCAAATAGGTCCAAGGGATGTAGTGACATACTAGTATTTTAGATTTTTAAGATTCTTCTTTAATATCAGGATTTAGGATAAATGAGCAAATTTAAGATAAATACAGGTTTAAATTTTATAGTGATGCTAAACTTAAAATTTATGAGATAATTTACTTATTTATCTTTGATATTAAAATGCTATAGGAATCTTTAGATGATATTTTCCCCTAATTTTTATACTCTGCTACCAAACTTTTTTCTAATGCAACATCTTGACGTGTTACATCCAATTTTTGCGCAGTAATTTAAATTTAACATTGTAACTTCTTAAATTTTTATAATTAAATTTCAATAAAAGTATACTAAGCAAAATTGACGGTTAATTATTATAAAAAATTTTAATATTACTTTTTAAAAAAAAATACAAGATTAAGGGTAAAAAATATTCATAAAATACACACAAAAAATAAAAATAATATTAAAAGTAATTATAAATTATTTATATTCTTCAACCTCAAAAATTCTCCGCTGCGTTATCCTCATATTATTTCCGTCCATTTTTTCCGTTTGGAGCGCCTATATTTAAATTTTTTAATATTTTTTATAAAATATTCTTTTCTATTTCCTCCACTTTCTCTCTCTTTCTCCCCGCTCTCTGCCTTTGGCAGCTCCACATTTTTGCTCTCTCTCTCTCTCTCTCTCTCTCTCCCCCCCCTGAGCTTGTTCGGCCTCATCGCCAACACTGCCTCCTTCATCGTTGGGTTACTATATAGCATCCATTCAGCCTCCACACTACTCACATTCTCAAGCCCACTGATAATCACGTCCTCAAATCAATCTTTAATCTCTAAGTAGCCATTCTTGAACCAGTCGTTCTCTTTCTAAAAGCTTCGTCCCCTTGAATGTTCCCGCGTCCTGCGCTTCACTTTGTTGCAAGTAACATGTTGAGTGACTGACTCCCCGTTCACGTCTTCTGCCATCACCTCCTCCTTCTCCACGTTCACCACCTGCTGCGGCGGAAGCCATAGCTGAGAGCTTCAGAGAGTGGCACATCAATGGCGTCAAGAAGGAGGGTGACATGAGGGTGTCATTCGGGCGTGACTTGAGGACTTCCAGGTCGAATATGAGCGTTGCGGTGTTTGGAGGGCTTGCTCATGCAGGGCTGGCTACCACATCACGTTGAGAGAGTGAGGAGAAGAGAGAGGAGAGAATGAGAGAGAGTAGGGACCTTCTTTGCATGTTCTTTCGAGTCCTCTATTCCTTCTCCTCCTCTCTGCATGTTTCTTCTCTCTCTTTAGACACACACACATAGAGTTTGAATAGAGAGGAGGGAGAGGACGAGAAGAGGGGGAGCGAGAAAGTGGAGGGGAGAGAGGGGAGAGGGAGATTGAATGGAGGGGGGAGAGAGGAGAGGAAGAGGGAGAGAGAGACGAGAAGGAGAGGGACGGGAGAGGGAGATTGAATGGAGGGGGGAGAGAGAAAGAGGGAGAGAAATGAGCAGGAGAGGGAGAGAGGAGAGAGAAGGAGGAATTTAAAAAAATAATGTGAGACCATAAATAATATTTTATAATAAAAAATATTAAAAAATTCTTAGGCATGACCAAACGTAACGGTAAGCCAATGACAGGTAACGAAGTAATAATTTTTTAAAATTAAAAAATATAAATAATTTATAATTAAATTTAAAATTATTTATGACCTTTTATATATATGTTAGAGATATGTTTGATCCTTAACTTAAAAATATAAAATACTTTTAAGCAAATCACATTTTTCATTAAAGTAATTAGTTATTTTTAAATTAATATTATCTTTTTATATTTATCTCTATTTAATAGGATATTTTATTTTAAAATAAATATAAAGTAATTTACTTATTAAGGATGCTTTTTAAAAATTTACATTAATTATATTTTAAAATACTAAAAATGCCATCTAAACTTTAAAAAAATTATTTTATATTTGAAAAATTGACAACAAAATGTCATAATTTTTTTTAAGTTCTAAGTACTTCTGTGTTAATAAATTTTAAAATAAAAAATTATTTTATTTTTATTGAAAATAGCAATTTTCAATCATAACTCTTGTTTAAGGAATAACAACTTTTATTTCGTGAATCATAAGAGTTGAATAAGAAATCACAATTTGTTAAGTGTAATTTCTATTATTGAAAAATAAATTTTTAAAATAACAAGCTACAATAACAATTTTTTTCAAATATAACAACTTTTATTTAAAGAATAGTAGTAATTGAACAAGAAATCATAACTTGTTAATAAAAATAAAATTATTTTTTTAATTTAAAATTTATTGACATAAAAATTTTAAAAACTTTAATAAAATTATGACATTTTGAATGATTAACTTATCATTTATATAATTTAAGAAGATTTTGTTATCATTTTGTTTTTATATTTTTGAATGCATGAGTGAGCCTTGTTAACTCTTTAAAGGACTGTTTGGTTTTTTTATGTTTCACATTCATAAAGGATTGTTGAAAATTTATGAATGTTAAAATTATTTGATTTCTTAAAATTTGTCTCAAAGTTCATTTTAAAAGTACATTTTAAAAGTTTTAAAAGCATATTTCTTTAACTCAACTTTTGGTAACTTTTTGAAAGTTCTTTCAATATTTTTGTTATCAAATTCTTTTTTTTGCCTAGAACTTCATTCAATTTTATGTAGTTTTTTAAAATTTATAATGTTTTTTAAACGATTGACATATTATATTTTAGCATTTTCTGTAATTTTAATCTAATTTTATTTTAAATAATGTTTATTTATTTAATGGTGAGAATTTAGGATCTCATTTAAAAAAAAGTTTAAGTATTATAAGATTTTACAAACGATGAATATGAAAGTTGATGATTTCATCAATTGAATTTAAAACCCAAAGCAATCGGTTAATTAAAATTCTTTGAAATTTAAACTTATTTTTAATAGAATCTCAAGTTTTCACTATTGAATAAAAAACATTATTCAAAATTAGATTAAATCAGAGCTATATAGTATATAAAAACATGAGACATTAATCATTTGAAAAACATCATAAAAAAAGAGTAAAAAATGTCATTTCATAAAATTATAAGTCGTTACATTCTCAGCGGCGAACCACACTGAAGCTAATTTAGTTTATATAATAATTAATGTTCTATGCATAAAATGGTGGGAATAATTTGCTCGAAGTTTTAAAATTTAGGGTCTACGGTTGCTATTTGTGTAATAATTTAGAGTCTGTGGCGCTAATTAAGTGGGGCCTATGGTGAACAGTAACAATAAACCTAATTAAAAAAAAGCAATGGTAGGACTTAATTTGTTATGATTTTAAAAGTTTAAAGTTTATTTTATACATTTTAAGAGTTAAAAGTTCAAGGCACTTTTTGAGTAAGAGTTTAGGATTTATTTTGCTCATTAGCCCAATTATAAATTATCATATATTAGTATTTCTTTTAATAATTATACATTCAAAAACATATTTTATTATATACAATTTAAACAACTTTTAATTTATCAAATTAATTATAAAAAATATATTTAAACATAAATTTTATTATAATAAATAACTTTTATGAAATTGAGTGAACTTTTAAGTTTTAATAAACGAATTTTAGGGTGCGTTTGGGTGACTCACGTTTCATATTTCAAATGTGATTTTTAACTTTTGAGATGTGAAATGTTGTTTGGGGCATCTTTTTTAGATGAAATGTGCTTTTCAAAAGAATTTTTAAGTGGGTATCAAACTGAAAAAATAGAGAGCAACTTTAGTAGCTTTTGAAATGCAAATCAGGCATGTAATTGGTACCTAATATTATAAAAGACCCTTCTTCATGTGCAACTGATGCTGGCCTCTCTCATTCTGCTACTTCTTACTCGCTCGTTCATCAATCGTCCGTCGCTCGTCCGTCACTCCTCCTTCTCTCCTCAGTCATTCCGGACTCAGCTTCTTCTCTGTTTTTGTGCTTCTTTGAGAGAAGGGAAAAAAGAAAACAGACATTAAAAAATTAAAAATAATTTGTTTTTAACTTTATTTGTGCGTTTGGGAATTTTGAATTGTGAGTGATGCGAGGGCCAAGGAAAATTGCTGCCATGATGAGGAGCCAGACTTGAGCCAGTCAGCCAGCCAGCTTGAAATGATAAAAAAATGAAACTCAAATGTAATTAAAATTACAGGACAATGAATTTATTATCTTATACTTTTAATGTTATTATTCTTAATAAGTATCATGAGTTTGAATATCAAACAAAGCAACCTCGTCTTCTGTATATTTATATCTCTTTAATCAATAAGAGTATAATTAAAAATTGAGATATTTTTTTAATAAATAAAACAACATAATAACTTTCATTAATTTACATGAAAAACATCTCAAACACCCTATACAAAAAGGGGTAGAAGGCGTAGGCTCCAGGATGGCCATAGACATATCAGGTTTATCTGTTTATATTGTTATATCATATACGTATATAGAAATATATGTGTGTATCAACATAAATATATAATTAAAAATTAAATTATATATTATAAATTGAATCATTAATTAGATAATTATTTAATATTAATTAATATTTAATTATTTATTATACAATTTTTTTAAAATTAAATTTTATATTTTTTTATTATTTAACATTTTAAATTTTATATTATTTTAAATTTGTTTCACATTTTTTAAACATTTCTAATATATTATATTTGTATAATAAAAATTATAAATTATCGTAAATTAATTTTTTTTATCATTATATATTAAAAAATATATTTTAAAAATATAAATTTTTATTAATTCAAATAATTTTTAATTTATAAATTAATTTTTTAAAAAATATATTTAAATATAAATTTTATTATAATAATTAATTTTTATTAAATTAAATTTTATTAAATAAATTTATATCAAATTAACTTTTAACAAATTGAAAATAAAACACACACTTAATCAACGGAAACCAAGCGCACATATAAGCCCAGTTAGTTGCGCCTTCATATCCCCCACCTGAATGCGTTTCACGGTCTTGTTCTTATTCAGTCCCTAGATTGTCCTTCATCGATCCCACCTATGTATACTTTTTCGCTCTGATTCTCGACAATTCCAGTGCCTTTCGCCGCCGTGCAAGCTCCAGTGAGCCCTATTTCTCTCTTTCCTCTCATTTTTTTTAATTTATTTGTTTAGCCCTTGTTTCAAGCTCACCCGCTCGCGCTCTCTATTCTTGATTCTTGGGGAAAATTACGTTATCTAGGTCATAGGAGTAGTAATTGTTTCTTTCAATTTTCAATATTTTTCTTCAATGGTAAGTATTGGACTCCCTTTATTTCCAATCCACAAACTCGAAATGATGCGCTGTTTGTTGTTTTGATAAATTGGTTAAAATTTTCGGTGAGATGGGAACGAAGTTAAAAGTGACTATTTGTTTGAAATATTATGATTTTACTATGAGTATGGGTCGTTAACTTCAAGTATGTGTGATGCGTTAGGACAATTTTTGAAAATTTTTAAGAAATTGATTGATATAGAGTTTTATTTCTTTTACGGTATTCAAACTATGTTTTTCCTTTTTCATTCCCTGTCACGTTTTTACATGATTTATAAGATTTTACCTCATAAAAATAAGGTACCTTTCCCCTTTATCTCGTAAGTGCAGATTCTGTGTAGTGCCAAATTTTTTTTTCCCCTTGTCCTTCTTCCCTTTCTCCCTTTATATCTCGATTTCTCCCTCTGTATCCTTCCCCTTCCCCTTTTTCTTTGGTATTCTCCATTACTATTATTTGGTTTTCTTCCCATGTCTGTCCTTGCATTTGATTATTTTTCTAATATCTTTCAACTCAAAAAAATTTCCTGTGCAAAGTCATATTGTCTAGAAAAGATATGCCATCCTCATTCTCACAGATAAATGGCACTGGCTTTATTAGGTTCTTTTCATCATGTGCATTTGATTGTAAAGAATTTGTATTTCAACTTTTAAGCTCAGTATCAATAGAGTGTGGAGTTTTAATGTGATTCATATATGTAGTCAAATGACTCAAATCCAAGTGCTTCATGTGCAGTTTACCGCTCTGACTGTAGCATCATTCTGATAAAGTGTGGCCATCTTTTCTTTCACAATAGCATTCTAACCATAGCTGATAGCTGGCAATTGAACTGATGGAAACTGGAAAGGATTACAGTGTGTTTGATACCTGCAGAAAACTAGGAGAGTTTCCATGTTCAACTAAACTGCACATTTACTTGTATGTGGTCCATTTCAATTGAAACTATTTATATGGAAAGAAATAATACTACCATTTAGCATTTGAGACTAAGTTTGACAAGTTTTGACCATGAGGTTTGGCAGTTGGAGCTACTATATCATCAAGTATCAATTGATTGGATCTATTGCTCTTGGTTGCTTCTCCTTAGTATAAGTTAGCTGATTTTCTTTCTTTCTTTCGTTTTGGACAACGGATGATGAACTACAATGTGCTTTTGAGAAGATGCATGAGTTCTCCACTGTTGATGGTTTTGTGGAGATAAGTGAATGCTTGGCAGAGATGATAAAATTTGTGGCTAATGAACCATCAGTTGGGCTTTTCTTTGTCCAGCAGCATGCTCACAATGCAGTGCCTAATGTCGTCAAACTTACAAGAAATGTTGCAGAGAAATCTCATGAAACAACTTTGCACACAGAAGATTTTGAAGACTCTATTACTATGCTGAGATCTATGAAAGAGTGTGGATTCTCCATAGCTGATGAGATGATGGGAGATATCAAAAAATCTTTAGTAACTATGACAACAAAACAACCAAAACGAGGGACAATCCAACCATGGACTTCAGATTTCGAAACACAAAGAGCTAGCTCGTGGGGTAATACTCCATTTTATGCCCTAGAGGGCAGAGAAAAGAGGGGAAACTATTTTTCCAGTGTTCTTAAGTCAGCAAAACAGAAGGCTAGCAGTCTGAAGTGGCGACACCTTGATCCGTGGGGACCAATGGATTGCAATGATGACAAGCCTCTCTTGTTCACTAATCCAGCATTATCAGTTGCGTCCTCAAGCACTACTTCATCTCTACAAGGCATGGAAACCGACGAGCTACCTCTTTCAATCCAAGTTGAAGATGAATCTCAACAACCGGAAGAGAATGGGACTGCTGATTGTGGGAGCAAGTTGTTGCTGGTATCAGAAAAGTATGATGATTTCAAAGCAGATAAAGAGGCTAAGCTGGAGGATTGGCTAGAAGGGAACAACTCTTGATGATAGTTGCCTGGCAGTTGATGCAGGAAAGGTTTCGGATTTAGCAACACTTGGGAACAAAGCTTAATTAAGCGTGTGCTGTATATACCGCATGTGGACGATAACTATTTGTCTCTGGAAAGAGATCATAAGTAAATGTTTTGTTACGCTGGAAACGTTTAATCATATTTGTAATGATAGTTTGGCCATTTTGAACCAACAGCTTGTTTTAGAAAGGATTGATTGCGCGGCTACCGTCAAGGAATTTTGCATCTCCCATGGACCATAATGAAGCATATAATGTGAATCTTCAACCTCTCAACGCAAATTATACGTGTAAGTAGCCTAACCATGCAGCTTCCAGCCAGAGCTGAGCTGAGGATTCTCTGTGGACAATGCGCTGATAATTGCTTTAAATCTATGTAATGTAATATAACTCCAAGTAGTCAGGCAATATTAAAATACAGAGGGTTAAGTATTATTTTTATCTTTTAGATGTTACTGAATATTCTAGACTCATTTAAGTCAATTATAACTCTCAAACACTAGAACTTGATCGGGGGTTCTGATTTTTTTCCTTAGAATTTTACATTTGAATTTTTTTACCATTTTTTATAATATAAAACTATTCCCCTCTCTCACCTCCATGTTCTTTCTCTCCTCCCTCTTCTCCTGGCAATCACGGACAGCGAATGCACAGTTTCATCTTCCTCCTCCTTCTCTTCTCTCCTCCTCCCCCACTCTCTCACCCTCCCGCTCCTTCTCTCCTCCCCACTTTCTCTCTCATCGAACAAAAGTCTCCCAGACTCTCGCAACCTCAGCCCCGCCGCCCCGTCCCCAGCCCCACCCTCACCACTCCCATTTCTTTAACCCTTGCTGGCTCCATGTCGACCCCATTCATTTGGGTACTTGTAGCTGAAAGCTCTGCGTCCTCCAACCAAAATGAATCATCCATCTGCAAGCTTTGCTTGAGTTGCATAACTATATCACACCATGCAATTAACAAGAACAATTTTATCTATTAATGAAGATGATACAGAAGTTAAGGGAGATGTACCGCCTATCTTCTTTGAATGTGTTAGGATAATCTCTCGAGAGACAATTGTCGCAATCAGAAAGGAATCTCAGGGATCTAGTTCTGGTCATGAAAACCATCAGCACTGACGAGGGAACCATCAGGTGGAACCCCTCCTGATGAGCACTCTGGATCTATCTCTATCTGCACATAATTACCATAAGCATGCATGCATGGATGCGAATTCATGATCCAGGTCAACTCTACAGGCATATGAATGAACCATGTAATTAGAAAGATGCAAGGAGACTACTACACAAACCTTGATGGGCCTAACAATTTGGTTAGTTTCAATATCATACTCAACGACGTGAGCCTAACAATCTTGTTGCGTTACATTCTGGGGATCAAGGAACGAAATACAATTCTTGGTAGTGCTTTGATCCTGGAAATATGGTAAATGATGGTATCATAAAGAATGATCTTGTTATTGGCCATCCATTGCAGCTGGTATGGAGATCGTCATCAAGGTTATCAGCTCCACGGGAAGGTGTTAATGGAAGGAGAGGTAGTATTGGAAACAGAATAACGTCATCATGGTCGTGGTCTGTGAGTCTATCATGGTGAAGGAGATCACTGAAACTGCGTTTGTTGAGAGAGTGGGGGGAGAGATGATCACTGAAACTGTGGATGGGGAGAGAAAGGCCTAATCACAGTCGATCGTGAAAGAAGACAGAATGGCCAGGGTGGTGAAAAAATTGGGCGATGGTGTCGATAAACCACGACACATAGTCGTGCATGGACCCGAACGTGGTGGTGAGCTCTTATGGACACAATGGGCCATTCGGAGCACCGGAGTGAACTGATTGAAGAGCATAGGATGATCGTCAGCATTCCAAGGATGAAGGTGCTTGACATGAATGCTGTAGCCACAGGATGCCATAGCGAGGCTGACAAGGGAGATAGTGCTTAGCATGATCGTCACTAGCATGGAAGTTGCAGAAATTGATAGAGCCCCAAGAATGATATATGTCATCTTCTTCATCACGGTAGAAGCGAAAACCAGCGTAAGATGTAAGGTAGACGGAGAGAGAGTGAGGAGGGGGGAGAGAGAGAAGGAGAGAAAGTAGGAGGAGACGGAGAAGAGAGTGGGGAGGAGACAGAGTTTTTTATATTATAAAAAATATAAAAACCGATGAAACCTATTATTAAATATTTTTAATAAAAAATATTAAAAATATTCAAATGTTGGAGCCACACTTCAAATACTACTCCAATGAACTAGATTATACTTATTACTGCATAATTTTGGACATCTATAAGCTATGCGAATGATAATGATTCTTTGGGAAACACGCCGAGATTAGAATCTTAAATGCACCTAACTGATGTGGAAGAATATGCCTTGAAGATCAACTACAAGGATATTAAGTTTGGACAAAGCTTGAAATGACCATAATACCAAACGAAAAATCAACTTTAATGATGAAGAAACTTGAGATTAAGACTTCGGCAAATTATCATCCACTTCCATTCTTTGCAAGAGTTCCAATAAACTTCCCGCTTTTCTTTTGGCCCTATCAGTGCCATTTTCCGACAATCCCCGCAGTGCTTCTTCTGCACCATGGTCCCTTGCCTGTTTCAACTGCAGAAGATCTCCCATGCAAAGCGACCACAACACAGCAGCAGCATTCTCCCTGTTCCGTGGGGAACCAGTTCGTATAACCTCGACTAGAATAGGAATCGGTTCAGCTTGACCAATAGCTGTCCTGCCTTCCAGATGACTTGCAAGAATAGCCAGTATAGCTAGTGCTTCATCCACCATTCCACCTCCAGCGTCACTAAGAAATGTCATTAGTGGGCCTACTATACCAGATTTTACAGCTCTAGCTTTGTTTCCCTGATATATAGAAAGGTTAAAAATAGCTGTAGCAGCATCCTTTTTACCTCTGGGAGTGCCTTCACAAAGCAAGCTAATCAAAGCAGGGATAGCCCCAGCTGCTCCTATTGCAACCTTGTTCTCATCTAGAACTGATAAACTAAAGAGAGTTGCAGCTGCATTTTCTCTGGCTTCCATACTGCCATTTTTCAGTACATCTACAATATCTGGTATAGCTCCTGCATTGACAATTGTTCCTTTGTTACTCTCGTTGATGGACAGATTGAGAAGCGCTGTGACAGCATGCTCCTGGGTTCGAGGATCCGAGGAAGACAGCAACTCTACAAGAAGCGGTATTGCTCCTGCCTCAGCAATACATACCCTGTTATCAGCATTTCTCTTAGCTAGCAATCGAAGCTCACCAGCTGCAGCCCTCTGCTGTTCCATGTCACCATTTGCTAGCCTATCCAATAAAGCATTAATAGCAGCTCGATCACAATCTGAAAGACTGCTTCCAGATTTCTTTGTTTTACAGCTTCCATGCTTTTTTGGTAGCTCAACACCATTGTTTTCACACCACAAAGCAATCAGACTCTTCAAAGCATAGTTAGGGGTTAGGGCTGTGTGCAAAAGTGTTTGTTGTGACTTGGGACATGTTTTGTTCCCAGAATCAAGCCATTTTTGAATGCAGGATCTTTCATATGTCTGCAAAATATAACTATTTAAATAACCTTAACAAATACTAAAACTGCTATACCACAAGCAAAACAATCTCTGGGTTATACCTGTCCAGTAGAGACAATTACAGGATCTTTCATTAGTTCAAGAGATATTGGACATCTAAAATCATCTGGAATTACAGGTGATCTGTGCTTCATTGAAAATTTTTCACCCTCACGGGTGTCAATTTCAGGGTTTTCATTGAGCACACAGTCCTTTAGTCTCTTAAGAAGAGATGACATCATCTCAATAGAGTCCCCTAGTTCTCCACCACTTGTGATCTGCAATTCATGTAATTCAGTTGATTCTTCCTTGAGGTCATTTATAGTCTTCAGATGCAACTTCTCAGAAAGCCCATTGAGCATCTCATGATCTGGGTCTTTTTCTTTTTGTGCTACAGCTAAATCCAAATGTAGTTCTAAATCAGCTAATTCCGTTCTAGCATTTGCTCTTTTATATTGAGCATGCACAAGCTCAATCTGAAACAGTTAAAACAGTTGTCAAAACAGTGGCAAATAAAAATCCAAGAATTAACACAGCCATATCTCTTGGTCAAAGATTATCATTGTCTTAGTTGTAATGCCCAGCAGTCAAATATGATTAGTATAAATAACAAGTATGAATCACAACTAAATTGTTCACGATATAGTAAAATTTCTGGCTAAGTTTATCAAAAATACCTGTTCTCGAACTTCCTGTGATATCTCAAGCTTTTCATATTGAAGTACACTAATTGCTTCTTCAATTCGATCATTTATTTGTTGGAACTTTTCTGCCATTTCATTCCTCTGCAGAGCCTGTAAAATGCAAACAGCCTACTACATTAATATAAAAAATCCAAATCAACTAACTTGATTCATTAGATAAACTGAACAAGAGGGACTAGAGGAGGGCCAAAATTAATATCGAAGACATTGCCCAAGAGTTGTGTACTAGTGAAATAATCAGCATACAGAAGAGGCTGTGCAAATTCCAGTTGATAAGGTTTTCTTACATTTTATAGAAAACGGTAAAAATTAGAATTTGAAGGGAATGGCGCACATCACCACCAAATAAGCGCATGTAACTAATTAGAAGGGGAGTACATATGGAGAAATAGGAGAAGCATTGTTTGGCATGCAGCATAACATAAACATATACGACGTTTTAGAATTTCCACGTGCAGGCCATTTGAAAGCCTGACAGAAGTAAGTTTATACTTTTGTTCCCTGACAATCCTGCTGTAGCAATTGTGAAGTGGCAGCAAAATTTTTATTTAAATCAAGAGCCAGATGGATGAGATAGATGGATATATTACCTGAAGGTTAAACGTTAAATTTCAGAAACCATGTACGCTTTATGTAAGAACAAAATTTAAGAAAAAATTTGAAGTGTTTGCTGTCACCTCCAATTAGATTATAACTATGAATATATTTTACAGTTCCCTAGCATATGATCGGGTACTTCAAAATACTTATTCCACTGTGTTATGTTATAATTAGTAATTAGACAACCTAACTGAAAACCTTTAACCAGTCCTTGTCATTTTAACTGACTAGATGTCCGTACACACATATGAACGCTTATACTGGAAGAAAACGAAATAAGCAATGGCATAAACATATTTAGGCACGCAGGGAATAGTCATTGGATTTCACTTTGCAACCCAAACGAAGGCACACAAGTAATAAACAAAATAAGAGTAAGTAACACGAAGTCATTTGGTAACTAAACTTAGGTTACAGAGACAAGTTAGTAAAGTCAGAATATTTCAGCAATCCATTCCCAAGTTAAGGAAGGAAAGTCACCTAACGAAGGATTAAAAAAGGAAATTTGCAGCTATATATACCCGATAAAGCTTACTCCCTTGGCTCGTGAACTTGAGAAGGCTCTTAGCTGAATCCAAAGCATTTCCCAGCGATTCAAACGATCTAATATGGTCGTCGCTAAGCAACTCACAATCACTGTCCTTAATTTCCTCGAACAACGGGCTCAATAACTTTACCCTTCGAACCAAACTCCCATACATCCTCTTGCAAACGTTTCGACATTCAGGTAACTCCGAAATCTCTTTGATAGAAAGAAGCAATCGATCCACCATCACCACCTTTGAATTCTCACTCATCTATTCCGAGCGTACCAAACTAAAGAGTTAAAAATAAAAAAAATTGTTGCCCAAATTGAGGGTTGCGTCGAATCTTTTGAGCGATCTCTGAAGGGTGATGGGGAAATCCAAGATTATTTGAGGAATCGTCAAAGATGGGGGCAAGTATGAAGAAGGGCGACAACAGACGTAGATGCTATGCTGAACCAAAACCGAAATCAAGTATGGAACATGAAACGGAAACGGGATGGGATGGAATTGAATTGGATTGAACAATATAGTATGAATTGGTAGTCATAGTACACATGTTTGACTGTGGGCAAGGTCCGCATGAGATCATGGATATTATCACCTGGCTTTGACACAAACTCCATGTTGGCTTAGTGAAACTTTTTCATTAAGGTGTAGAAGAGTAAAACTTTACCCCAAAAAAGGTACACGAGTAAAATTATTGAAAAAGTGACCATAAAATTTTTGAATTATATGAATAATTGTTATAATTTCACTAACATTTTTAAGAACTTTTATGTTAATAAATTTTAAAATAAAAATATTATTTTATTTTTATTAAAAATAATAAGCTTCAATTATAATTTTTATTTAAAGAATAATAAATTTTATTTTTTAAATAATAAAAGTTAAATAAGAAATTATAACTTATCATGTATAATTTTTATTATTAAAAAATAAGTTCTTAAAATAACAAATCCTAATTGCAATTTTTATTTAAGGAATAATAACTTTTATTTCATAAATCATAAAAGTTGAACAAAAGATTACAATTTGTCAAATATAATTTTTAATATTTAAAAATAAATTCTTAAAATAATAAGTCCCGATCATAATTTAGTTTAAGGAGTAACAATTTTTATTCAAAGAATTATAAAAATTAAAAAATAATCATAATTTATTAATAAGAATAAAATGATATTTTCAATTTAAAAGTTATTGACACATAAATTTTCAGGAACTTTAGTGAAATTATAATATTTTAAAGTATTAGATTATCATTTATATAATTTGAAGGATTTTATTATCAATTTTTTAAATTTTTTAAATTTTTTACTTTCAAAGTTTATTTTGGAACCAATTAGAAGAGTAAAACTATGGTATTTTATTTTAAAAGATTAAAAAACCTCTCTCCATAGAACTTGTTATCAATTAGCAACGCATGGGTCAAAGCCAAATTTAAGAAATTAAATTTTTGAAAATTTTGGGTTATTAGTATTGAAAAATAAAATAATAAAATATCAAATAATTAATAAAAGAGATGTTTTATAGCATGTAGATTATTTTTTAGTATAGATAGTAGACATGAAATTATTAATATTTGTCTTACCTTTTAAAATGTAGGGAGAATGACATTGAAAACCTAAAAAAGAAAAATTATTATAATAAGGACTTCTCAAATTTGTAGGGATGATATGATATAAAATGGAGCTTTAAAAAAAAAAAAAACTAGTGAAGGACATTTTGACAGTTGACCATGAAAATATAATGTCAAATAAGTCCCTTTGTCCTGCCATAAAATTTTAAAATGTTTTTTGTATGCTTTGTAATTTTATGCCTTCAATGGTCTTTTATTGACATTCTACCATTTTTTTATTCCATCAATTTTTGTTGTGATAAATTTAAATAAAACTTATATTTTAGGGAGAATAAGATTGAAGGCCCTAAAAAAATTATTATAAAATGGTTTATCAATTTTACACTGAATACTGTGTTGTGAAAATATAGATGTGCTATCAAATTGTTATAAAACTAATATTCTCTGCATTGAACCTTGTTAACATGATCTTTTTATTAAATTAACAAGTAAATGTTAGTAACAATAACAAGTTTATTTTCTTTTTTGATAAATATACTTTAAGTTTTTTTTTTGGTGAAAAAATATACTTTAAGTTTAAACATCTTCTATCTAACAAGTTTCTTTAATAAATTGATAAGCAAATTTTAGTTAAATGATAAGTTCATTTACTAATTTGATAGATACACTTCAAGATATTTTTAAAATGACAAGTTCACGTGAATGGGAGATGAAATTTTTTAATAAATAAAGGATAATTTGATAATTGAACATGAAAATGTAACATCAAATCAATCCTTAATCTTATAGTGAAATTTTGTAATGTTTTGAGCTTAATTTAAAAGTATTCCCCTTCTTGATCCTTTAGTGAATTTCTTCCTTAAACAAATGATATGAAGAAAAATATTATGTAAAGAGCTACAGCCTACATGAATCTAAAAGAGGATGCAATATTTATAACTTTAATGTGGTTTCTTATAATTTTTACATTTTCCTGTATAATATGATGTATTTATTGATTGTACTTTTTCCTAAAAATTTGTAATTAAGGTAAATATTTTTCTTAATTTTCACTAATTCTTCAATACCAATATTAATATATATATATATATATATAAATTTTAAAAAATTATGTTGTTTGCAAGTTATAAATAATATTACTCATTAGTTAAGGTAAGTAAAATATAAAAAATTGTATCTAATTCTTTTGGTTCTCAGGATTTAGGTATAATTTTTTATAGATATGCAATTATTCATTATTCATAAATCCAGTTGGGTAGGACGACATTGATGAAAAAAGTACTTCAAATACCATAAGTTTTGCATATCACTATTTGTATGAATATCTAAGCATGTATTTTGCGTTGGTTATATATAAAAAGGAATATTTTTTATTATTATTTTTTTAAAAATATTAAAATTTTCAAATATATAATTTTTAAATTTGAAAAATACTTAAAATCAAAAAATATTGGGAAAACACAATTTTCATTCTTTGCAATTTACTTGAGCTATGTTATAAGTTCTTTTACTTTTTTAATGTTCTAGGTATTTGTACTTTACTTTATTTAAAACGCTAGTTCTTACATTTTTAAAGGGACGTTAAGGTGACACAGACAATGTTTATAATGTTGATGTGTCATTTAATAATATTAGTTTTTTACTTATTAGAAAACTAATGTTGATGTAGATTTTTTAATAAACAAAAATAAAAAAAAGGCCTACATCATGTGCTAACCTAGATCACAAACTATAAAATGCTCAAAACACATAGACTTACATGCTCAAAATGCACAAAGTAAAACGCTTAAAACCCTTATTTTCTACTTAGGGCAAAAATATCATTGACTCCAATTGGGACCACAATAGAGGGAGAGACCCCACTGATATGACATCGGAAAAGCCTCGTTGAAAGCCAGAAAAGAGAATTCGAAGGTGACAGAGCTTATTTATTACAAATTTTTTTAATATCAATTAAAATCATTTATTATATTTTATTAACTCAAAGTAAATACATATTATATTAGAATTAAAAATTTATTTAAGTATATAAGTTTTGTGCGCTAAATGCATTTTAGTTTAAAAATAATTTTTTTAAAAAATGTATATAAAAAATTAAAAAAATGTATTTTAACTTTTAAGTATGGAAGAAGAGTATTCAAATTAAATTTTACATTTGGGTCCACTTACATTTTATTTTTATTTTATTCATTCGGAGTTCAAGCCAAAGCCAATCTTTCCTCTTCAATTTTTCAGATTAAACGCTTAACTTTTGCATCATAAAAAAAAAAAAAACAAACAAACAGACGGGCAAAAACGACCTCGGCCGAAGCGCGTCGAAGCAAAAATAGACAAGCAAACAAGGTCAACCATTACACTTCCGTTCTCGACTCCGTGTTGCATTGGTCATTATCTTCAACAACCAAAACTTTTGTCTGTCTTTTATTCCCCCCCAACAGCCTTTTGATAAGAATGGAAGCTCCACAGATACAACTTTAAATGTTGTTTATAAAAAAGTCCTTGATACTTTAGTTTAAAAAATTACAAATTTTTCTTAATCAACTTTGCGTTGTATTTATTTACAATGTTTGTTTTTATCATTTGTTATACTTTTTTTTCCTATTCCAGTATCTTGGGTAATTAGAGGAGTATTACCACCTTTTATTTAAACTAATACGAACCTTCACTGCGTGTGACTGCTATTACCAACAACAATTTCACAAATATCTTAAAAATGCCTTTGGCATGTTTATTTGGATTAAGATATAATTTTACTCTTAAACTATTTTTAGAAAAATAATATTATTCCTAAACCATTTATCGTAGCAATATTGTTCCTAAATTAATTAAATTGGAGTAATGTCACTCTCACAATTTAAACGTATGTTATTGTAGATAGTGAAACTCACTTTTTATGAGTTAAGATGTAATTTTGCCCCTAAATTATTTTTAGAGGAGCAATGTTGTTTTCACTATTTAAAAATAAAAAAAATAAAAAAATAAATTATAATAATATTAAATAAAATAATATTAAATGTATATGTAAATATAAAATTATAATAAATAAAAAAATATTAAATGTATATATAAAATAAATATAAGAAAAAATTTATAATATATTAATAAAAATTATAAATTAACAATATTATAAATTATAATTTTATGACTTGTTAAATATAAGTGGATCTTGATTAAGTTAGATATGAATAGAATTAAAAATATATGTATTTGCATCTATCATTATCAATCGGAGCCATCATTAATGACTAGATTTGGATCAAAAAACCGTTTTTATAATTGAGCTGTATTGGACAAAAGTTAAGAAGCTATTAAGGCGAAAACCAAAGTTGAATTGGGAATTGGAGCGATTTTAACCATAATATTAAAAAAATTAAATTTTTTTTTAAAATAGAAAAATTCAAAAATTAGATCAACTTTATTTTTGAATAATTGATATGTATAAAATGTGATTTAAGATCATTTTTTTATGAAGATATTGATAATTATAGGTGTAAATATAGGTACTTTTTAGTCTACTCTTATATAATTTAACCAAAATTTACTTATATTTAACAAGTTGTAAAATTATAATTTATATTTTTTCTTATTTTATATATACATTTAATGTTATTATAATTTTATTTTTTATTTAATTTTATGATTTTTAAATGGTAAGGGCAATTTTGCTTCTCTAAGAATAATTTAAGAATAAAATTACATCTTAACTTATGTAAAGTGGGTCTCACTTATTATAGTAATAGACGTTTAAATGGTAAGAGCAACATTGCTTTGATTTAGTTAGTTTAGGGGTAATATTGCTATGATAAATAGTTTAGGAACAATGTTACTACTCTGAGAATAGTGTAGAAATAAAATTATACCTTAACCTTATTTATTTAATGCAATTACATATTGTAGAAATTGAACTCGAGACTTTTAGGATATGCTGATTCAACTCCGTTAACAAGTTGAATCAAGTGCCACTTGATTACCTTATGTTATACTCTACTTGTGCATAATTAGTGTTATTGACAATAACTAAATATCCCTACTATATATAAGGTAAGAAAAAATTGTCCGTTACAAGTTATTTTTATAGAAAAGATTTTCCTGTAAAATTTTGTCATACATAAGGGATATCACGTATTAAAAAAAAAAAACTATTATATTTACTGGTTATATTAAAATTTAGATCAATTAGTTGTCAACTTCCTGCCGGTCGTTGAATCAAAATAATCACTATATTTGATGTACGATTCAAAAGTCGATTGGGCTGTATACCACGAGAGAGGCCACCTATAATGCATCATTCTTCGATCTCGCATGTATTATGTGGTCATTGATCACATGCACAGCTCGTATGATACATTTACAAATATTGACTGCCAAAATGCTGGGAAATTTGTCGAGAACGAAAGGAGAAGAAGCGCAAGTTATGCGTAAGATACACTTTCTAAAATTTTGGTGCGTTCTGAGTATCTTTTGGGTAACTGGCACTTTTTATGGGTACAACATGACAGCAAATTGAAGTATATTATGGAGGAATCAAGTTCGGCGAAGTAAAGGCACAAGAGTACAAATTTTAAGGAAAGAACTAATTCCCATTCTTGCTGCTAATTTTCAATATTGTATATGTTGGATGCAAAGTTTGTGATAAGAATTTGTAGAACGTGGCTGGTTCCTAGTTATGTACTGCGCAAATTATATTCACTTTCACACTTTAACAAGCTTACGGCACTACTTTTGCAGGAAATTTATATTGAATTTTTGTAATAACTGAGGACATTCAAGGTACTAAATTAATCATACATTTGATAAATCAGACAATAATGAGTTTGAAACGTGGATCATGCTACGCTTCAAAACTTCCGGTTTTGAAAGTGCTGTAGTGGACTCTGGCCAACAGAAAAAAGAATGTTTTGTTGTGAACACAATGTGCCTTTATTTTAATCTAAGTTTGAGTATGTGTACATTGACTGATTGATATCAAATTGATGTTGTTTTTCTCCTCCGCTGGCTACATCCGTGAAGTTGTAATATCAGCACAGTTTGAATTGCATATCTGATAAGATCATCCAAGACCAATGTCATGTTTCCTTAATGTCACCTCAATAGTACGCATAATTATCACGTTTTTTCCCCCAACTCACAGTCAAGTAACAGTACGCATAATTTCCTCGTTACCATGACATATCAAGAATATCTGAACAAAGAAGCAATGTCAGCACTCAGGATTGCTAGAAATGTAGTCTAGTATCCAATCTATTGTAATATACAATAAATTTGCAAGAATACACCAAACCATTTACTGTTTATATGGTCATACGTCAGCTCTGCTCTAGCTTTGGGTTACGTAGTTTCACAAATTTCTCCCCATGCAAAATATCTAGTTACATCTAATTTGATTGCAAAAGTAACTTGCGATCTTTCTTCAGTATCCTCAATTGTTTAATCAGCAGGCTTATATAAGGCCGTATTCCTTGAGTCTTGGTCATTTACCAGTTGGTGCTGTCCAGCATGCTCCTTCAACTTCTCTACATGTTGCAATCTAGCAGAACAGATACATGAGCTTTAGATTTTCCGATTCCCTTTATTTGACCTTAAACCTTGTTTGAGATTCCACATTGCCGATTGGTTTGGTTAATTGTCCTGGCAGGCAAGATTCCCAGAGAAGAACGGCCAACTAGCTCTGACTTCCCTAATTATAAATAGATATATTACATTAACATTTTCATCAACTTCCTACCCATTTCCATAGCAGACTCAAGTCCATAATTGGATATTCTATTCCACATCAAATAATCCATTAGTAAATCTCAGTACTTTGTTCATGCTTTCATGAGGAAATATTTCTCCGCTAGTTTTGTCGGCTACACGTTTCATGGTTAACAATAGTATATAATCCAATACCACTATATTACCTTAGTCAGAAAAAAGTCAAATGCTAGATCTTCGTTGGATGAGATACTTATCCCAGTATCATCTTTAGCTCCTCCAACAGCTGTATCTGACTTTGTTATGACGGTCTTCGGGCTGCAACATGATGGGAGGCTTGCAAGTAGAATAGTCAACAATGTCCTAGGACCCAAAGATCAAAGTTAAAACTAGCATATGGATATCCCAAACATCTGCAAGTCAATATCAAACACTATTCCACTGTTGCGTCACACTTAAGCTTGTTCTGCCTCAGAATTCTCGGAGCCCATGTGACTGTGTATCATTTAAACCTGGAAATATGCCAACCGTCATGCTGCACATACAGGGGCAAAGTGCTATCATCTTATTTTGGAACTTTCAATACAACGTGGTTTAACAGACACCCAAAGTATTCCATGAGATCATTCAAATCCAACTCCAATCATAATTATTAATATACTTCAAAATCATTACGATTAACGAAGGCAATATGCGAGACCATGGCCATTATGAATTGCCATAATAGTCACATTCATTGAAATGACAGTATTATATGAGAATCATATCACATTCATCCCAGTCCAAGTAGCGGCAGAAACGTCTCCTAATTTATATCAAAATTGAATTATATGAAGCAATGTCATGAGTACCTCAAAAAGTTCATTTATATTATCTGCTGTCTTTGCAGATGTCTCGATAAAGAACATTCCATTCTTCTCTGCATACTCCAGGGCATCCTTCACAGAAATATTCAAGCATAATATATGAGAATGATAAGTTGTTATTCATTTACAAAACAGGCCATAATAATATTCAGCCATGTAGCACTACCTGGACAGGTACCTCCCGCTTCTCTTGAAGATCGGCTTTGTTACCGACCAAGGCCATAATTATATCAGGGCTTCCATGCTTTTGTAACTCCTACAAATACGACTACATATATCAAATGCTTAGCCAAATTTAAGATAGAAAAGTGGAGAGGGAGCTTGAAGCCGTCTAACGGAAAGGATATACGCCAACAATAACTTCACGAAATTGAATTATCAGCTAACAATGTTAATCTCTGGACAGTCTTTCCAGCACCTTCTCGCATAACGACTTATTCAATCTAATGCTCGGAAAAATCTATGAAAGTAAAAAAGAATTATGGAAACGGGAAACCTCAGAAATGCATGTAACCGACATTGATGCTATTTCACTTCAATTATAATGGATTTTTGTGGGCTAGAAACAATTAAATCTAGCTATAAAATGCACATAACACTGCTGCTTGGCACACAGATTGTCAGCTTCTTATACCTTTCTAGAAATATATTTAAGAAATGACCAAACACTTTCACGCCCACACATAATTTGCAATTAGTCCGTAAAACCTAATATTGAATATTTTGTATAGCAGTAACAATAAACAGGACATTATAACAGGATGAACTAATTCATGTTTCATTGATTCTACCATTTTCATGACTTAGGTCAACTCATCAAAGTGGCTTGAATATCAACCAGGACAATTTCAAAACCACGAATTGATTAATATTACTCTTGACAGCAATTACAGATGGAATGTCATCCTCTAAAATGCTGAAAGCCATGTTCACTACATGGGAAACCTATTTTCTTTAGTTAGACAACAGAACTGGTATTGGCTCCATATCACATACATTACACCAATATACCTCTCTATTTACAGAGAGCTATCTTCTAACAGATCTCTGACCTCTCCTGTATCACATGTCATGACTGCCCTTATTTAAGGTCACCACAGCTTTATGACACATTTCAATCCCTCATTTCCCAATTCAAAGTGAACTGTAAATGCATTCATCTGGTCACTAGCTTCCAACTGCTATGATTAATAAAGAAGGAAGCGATTCAATAAAGGATTGGATTTTACCCCTTCATTGAACAGTCCCCCACTAAAATTTATTGGATTGTTATTCATAGTAATGGTAGTTATAAGAGATAAGAAATGGAAATACAGAACCATCCAGTTACAACGAGTCTACCTTGACCCAGTACTGTGCTTTGTAGAAAGATTCTGGTCTTGTTATATCGTAGACAATAACTGCAACTGCTGCACCACGATAATATAATGGTGCTAGAGCAGCATACCTGAAAAAGACATAATTAACTTTTATCCCGAATATATATGTTTAGATAAGAAGTTGGATAATTAATGAGAAACAGACTACATAGTTGAGCCCTCCTGCTATACAGTATGTAGAAACTGCAAAGTCAAATAAAAATACCTTTCTTGACCAGCAGTATCCCATATTTCAAACCTGACTGTCGTAGAGCCTTGCAAAGCAATTGTTTGTGACAAAAACGAAGCTCCCACAGTTACCTTAAATTACAAAGACTAAAAGGTGAGTTACCTAGCCATGAAATTTTTTATAACAGAGGATGCATATGCTCTCTACTTCATAGTTTAAATTGATTAAAAGGTAAATTACTATGACTTCCCCTAAGTTTTTTTTTTTTTTGTTTTATTACCCAATACCCCCTCGGTTTTGAAAAATAACTCTCTAAACGTAAGGAAGGATTTGCATGATCTTCAAACGTAATTTCGCTTTTACCCTTGACCCATCTCTGCTCTCACTACACACCAAACCACCTTTATGGAATTAAAACCTTTTCCTAAACACCTTCAACTCCGAAAGAGGTTCATACTAAATATCTTTACAGCTGAGACTAGACCAAACAATGTGGGCACAATGGTCTACAACATGTAACGCAGTGGCTTTAATTTGAGGAGAAGAAACTAAGTAGCAGCTTGGCACTTTCCCTTCTGCCTGGGCCATGTTGTACAAATGTTACATGAAACACTAGGGAGGGCACAGTTATTGCTCCAAATAGAAGCATCAAGTGAGAGAGGCTAAAACAGTAAACCCCCAGAAAAGCTTGCATAAAAAAGATGCAACACAGGCAAAATACGACTTACCTTGGATGTTGGATCGAACTTGCCACGAACAAATCGAAGAACAATACAGCTTTTACCAACACCAGAATCACCTAACAGAACAAGCTGCGTTCAATTGAAATTTAAAATGTTAGTTTCTGTATCCAAGGGAGGTTGAATATGGTTGAATTTGTATTTTAACCGAATTTTATTAACTTTTTCAATCAATCCCCTTCAAGAACTTAATAAGCCGTACATTATGCAAAAATGTCCTCATGCGTGCTCCATCTACGAATCCTCTTAAAAATATTATCAGGCTTTGATATCAAATATTATTTGTTTCTCTTTTATGGCTATAAAAGAGCGTATTCTTATTTCGTAATTCATTTTGTATGTTTTTCTTTTTCCTCTCTAGTTTTGGAACTGAATCGCTAAATTCAGTTTAAACTGAACTGACAATGGAACCAAGTCAATGATCCTCTATAAAGAAACAGTTTACAAATGGTATTGAAAAAATATGCTAGTCTACAAATATCGGCCCTCGAAATATAATTGCAATAATCGATGCCACAAAATTAAAGTGATTTGGGCTCGACATGAAACACACTGAAAACAAAAAATCCAGAAAATTTACAATTCCACGTTCCAAAAAATGAAAAAAGAGTCATTTCTCCTCTCCAAACAATTAATTCAAAGCAAAGAATAAATTCCAAAATAAATGGAGTAGATTTTAGGGTGTTCCCTTCAGAAAATGTCAAATGATCATGTTTGTACACGGAAACAAACAGCTCGCTAGCATAAAACTCTGCCTATGAAGTACCTTCACGCGTAGATTCTTGGAGTCCTGACCTTCATCATTCTCTAAACTGGCTATTCCAAGCCTTTTTGGATTTCTATCTGGAAAAAAACAAGATCAAAATAACGCATAATGTCAACAAATAGCAACAACTTAACAAACAAATAATGAAATGAGGAGAAACAAATGAGGAAACTCTACAAATTCAAAACCCAGGATGAAACAAAAATAATCCAAATTAGTCTAAGATTCAATCACATTTCCGCTCCAGAGTCAAATATTAGAAATAACAACGGAATTCTGTCCAGAATTTTCTTTTTAAATCCGTGTGCATCGTGAAAACGCAACGTTTGATATTTACCTGGAAGGGAGAACGTGCAACCCATGATAGAGAATTTCGAACTGTAGTTATATAAATGTGAACGTAATATGGGGTTCACCGAAGGAAGGGTTTTTTTTTTTTTTTGGGGACCTGAAAAGAGAAAGGGATTCAATACCCAGCAATCTATTGACGCTAGTGGATGATTTTGGCCTTCTGGGTAATGATTGGTACAGATTAAACTTGTTTGTTTCCACAGGAATTGAATTGCGCCCGTGGAAACTTATGGAAATTCTCCTCTCTTTTTCACACAAATATTAGAAAATGCTCTCACATGATTTCTGTAGAAGTATGAGACGGGAGGATTTCTGCGTCGGATTCATACATAATCTTCGTCTTCGTATTATTTAATTAATTTAAATTTCACTTTACTAAATTATGCTAAAATTTGATTAAAATTCTTTGTAAATTTAGTATTGGATCAAACAATCAACTATTTTTTTTAAAATTAACTATATTTACTCATGTGGTTTAATATATTCAACAATTTTATAATATCGGCTAAAGCATATATTTAGGTTACGTTTGCTTATTAGAATAAAATATAATGGAATGAATTAAAAAAATTAAAAATAAAATGAATTAAATTATCTTCTCCTCCACGTGGAGTATAATAAAACTTATTATTATATATTAAAAATGTCAGAATTATTACACTCTTAAAAAATCTCATAAATCATAATTTTTAATTTCGTGAATTAAATTATCCCTCCTTCTTATAAATGTGCTCACCTATTTTCTTTAATCATTTTATTTTTACTTTTATTTTTTAATATATTTTATTTCATTTCATTCTAATAAGAAAAACGTGACCTTCGTTCTTTAACTTTATATAATGTTTTATTTTAGTCCCTTAATTTTTTAAAGTATTTTTAGCTTCTTAACCCTAATATTATTAGTTTTATGCCAACAAAGTTTTACATTGAAACTTTCAAATATTAACAAAATATTATCAAATGTTGATATATTAAGTTTAATTTTTTAAAATAATAATAATTGACACAAAAAAATAATCATTTAAAATTAATAATATTAGGGTTAAAAGACTAAAAAGATACTTTATAAAATTAAAAGACTAAATTAAAATGTTATATAAAGTTACAAACCTAAAAGTATATTTTAACCTATAAAGTATTATGAAATTAGTTATTTTTGTATAATATATGGGAGTAATAATAACATAAAAACTTTTTGGACAAAAGAGAGATGTCGAAAATGATATGATAATGATGACATTAAAAAACATACAAAACCTCGATGCAAATAAATAATATATACTTAAATGTACTTATTTTTAATTAGATAAAGACATGTATTTTTTGATAGATTATTTATTTTATAATAAATTTTTGTTATTAATATTATTAGCACATTAAAATTCATATATATATATATATATATATATTGATTTGCTTGAATAAAAGTATGTTATGTATGTAAGATTAAATACTTAAATCAAATTTGGATCTAGCGAGTGACCCAAGTTTACTTACTCAATGAGCGTTTCACGTGGTAAAATAACAAGAATTCAATTTAACCAAATGGTTGTAAGATGTTTCATCATATAATAATAAAAAATTATCAAATCTCAATCTTTTAGAGGGGACAACATATATGATAAATGTTTTAATCTCAAGGAATCCTTTGAATTTTTGGTGAAAAATGTATTTTGATAATTTTTAAATATTGATAAAATTCAATAACTATAATTGAGATGCTTATTAAGTAACTGACTTTCAACTACTCATCAAATTCAAATTCAAATAAGTCTTACCTTGGTAACATGTTTTATGGTCCCTTCATAACTGCCATGGTTGGAAGTTTGATTGGTTTCGGCTTTACGTCCATTTTTGGCACTCAAGGTGGTTTGGGTTAGTACCACCTAGTTGATTGGCTTTGACTTCTTGGTAATAATAGATCCAAAATAACTTTTAATTATATAAAATTAAAATAAGTTTTAGTTTACCAAACTCTATTTTTTTAAAAAATGAATTTAAATATAAATTTTGTTATAATAATTGTCGTATTTTTTAAAATAAACTTTTGACAAATGAAAATGAAATATAGAGTCTAGGGTTTAGAGTTAGGGTCTAGGGTTTTTTAGAGTTTAGGGTTTAAGGTTTTTTTAGGGTTAGGGTTTAGGGTTGAGGGTTTAGGGTTTAGGGTTGAGGGTTGAGGATTGAGGGTTTAGGGTTTAGGGTTTGGGGTTTAGGGTTTCGGGTTAGGGTTTCGGGTTTGGGGTTCGGGGTTTGGGGTTCGGGGTTTGGGGTTGAGGGTTTCGGGTTTGGGGTTTGGGGTTTGGGGTTGAGGGTTGAGGGTCTAGGGTCGAGGGTCTGGGGACTGGGGTCTGGGGTCTGGGGTTTAGGGTTTTAGGGTTTTAGGGTTTAGGGTTTAGGGTTTAGGGATTAGGGTTTAGGGATTGGGGATTGGGGTTTGGGGATTGGGGTTTGGGGTTTGGGGTTTAGGGTTTGGGGTTTAGGGTTTGGGGTTTAGGGTTTGGGGTTTAGGGTCTAGGGTTTAGGGTCTAGGGTCTAGGGTCTAGGGTCTAGGGTCTGGGGATTAGGGTTTGGGGATTGGGGTTTGGGGATTGGGGTTTGGGGATTGGGGTTTAGGGTTTAGGGTTTAGGGTTTAGGGGATTTAGGGTTTAGGGATTCGGGATTGGGGATTGGGGTTTAGGGTTTAGGGTTTAGGGTTTAGGGTT